TATATGGAAAGAGAATATTCTTTTTTTTTTTGAAAATAGGATAAAATATCTATAGGCGTTCTCATGAAAAACAAAACCCTTACATTATTATTACAAAAACAAGTGAATAATTATTCTAGGCGAAGTGGTGTACCGTATCTAATAATCGGCCTTGCTCAGCTATAATTTTCTTACCTATTTTTGACACAGAATCATGTCAAATATGGTGAGCGATAACTATATCTTTTTTTCATCTAATAATGGATTATACAAGCAGTCAAACAACAACACACGCACACACATTCACACATTTCATTCTCTTTCATATCATTTATTGAACTAACATGATTGCTGTTTGTTTTTTATATTTAACACAGATCGCAACTCGATTTAATATAAATATTTAACATAGATGGAAACTCGATGCATGATGAATTATGTTATGTTATTGAATTTGGAATTATGTCAGAGTATGAAATTTGGATTTATGTGAGAGTATTGAATTATCAATTATGTGAGAGTCGTTAGCATGATATTTCCCCCTCTTTCTCTCTCTCTCTCTATCTCTTTCCTAACATTGTTCTGTTAATAAACAGTATTTTATAAAAGCTTCATAACTTGTTCTTGCAGATTTTTGTAAAGCTCTGTAATGCGAATCTGTTTATTAAGGCATAATAGAGAATTAAAAGTAAAGCAAACAAAAACAAGTATTGCGAGAGCACTGTAAACAAAAACAATTATATGTGAAAACGTTTGTATATAAACAAATGCGATGAAAGCAGAGCGCTTTCATGGCGCTTTCGTTGTTTGGCAGAACTGCCAAAAAGGACAAGAACACTAAGTTAACTAGAGCAACAGCAGGGGCAACTACATATACTTGTGCATACATATGTGCACGTACTATGAAATTACGATGACACACGAACTTTTAAAGGAAAAGGATATAAAGAAAGGAAACCAAAAAAAAAAGAATCGAATAAAGCCAAATACAAGAACGTAAGTAAAGCAACGTTAAGTAAAACGAATCATATACAAATGTAGACAGCGTATCTGGAACACAGCAACGGTTAAATGATTTGACAAAAACTATATAAAAAATAGACGGAGCAAGTAATAGGCTGCTGGTCGCTTGTGGGGATAGAACGTAGAAGTGAATGTGTTTTCAGTAGTACTTTAAAACTCGCATAGGAAAGTGGAAATAAAAAAAAAAAAAAAAAAAAACAAAGGAAACAAGAATTAATCTAATGAAGTTAAGCAATGAAATGTTACTCGAACAATATGAAGAAAGTGAATGAATTTGCAAAACTTGAAAAGAATTAATCGAGCAAAGTGAAAGTATACAAAGAGATTAAAAAAAAGAAAAGAAAAAAAAAACTATTAAAATCAAGAACAAGAGATAATTTGTGTGTTTTTAAGTATACAATCTGTGCCTGCTGCATAGGCATATATATATATATATATATACATAAATACATATATGCCCATTGAGTGCCTTATATCGTTTGATAACAATACTCAAGGTGTTTATTATGCTGGTCAGGAATTATCTGGCGTTGTCGATCTCACTGTTGATACCACAAAACGTGTTAAAGGTATTTCCTCTCACTTAACGCATATCATTTCAATGAACTCGTTTTATTTGTAACATCACTTAAGAATGTTTAATATAAATATCATACATAGCAAAAAGAGTGTATGCGTATGTATGTACATGTTTCTTAAGTACTTAACATAAAATATGACTCAAGAAAGAACACAAAAGAAAACTACAGCTTTATTATACAGTATTTTGTCCTAGTTGCACTCTTTTCCCTTTGCTTCATCGCGTACACGCGCAAGCACACGTTCGCATATATGTGCGTGCATGTACTCTTTAAATAGGTTTCTATGTGCGTGCCTGCTGCGTTCAAATTCCATTCTTGCTTTACATTATCGCATGTAACCAATGAATATATCCTGTCCGTAGTGTATTAAAATTAATTCAATTTTTCTGTAAAATTAATGTAACTGTATATACGTGAGTGTGTGTATGTTGTGCTTTATATTGTCATACAGTCACCAAAAACAATAAAGAAAACCCAAACAACGTTATAATTTGTCAGTTGGGCACATAATATAAACCCATAACCCAACAATAACTTGAAAATTGTGTCATTAGCAAGCCCAGTAAACATTTTTTAACAAAATCGTTTATATTTAAGCTTATTTTATTGTTAATGATTGGACGTATGCCTTAAAGTGTTCCAAAGACGGAAGAGTTTTGATAGAAATGTTTAATATTGTCAAGCTAAGCAAGAGCAAAAAGGGACAGAGAGTGGGTCTCTGACAGCCGAAAAGCTTCTCAAACTTGTTCGTACGCTACTCATGTCCCGGAAGATTTCAGTTTTCTTGGCGTCTGTAAAGCTGATAAACTCCCTGGCCGATTCGAACATCGTAGCCCTCTTATGGCCTCTGCCCGCAACTTAGAATCAGCCGATGAACTTGCTGGCTTTGTACTTTTATCCCCCTTATTCACACTTCGCAGAGTTTCAATGATCTGCGCCCGCGATTTAGAATCCGCTAATCCGATCCCCCATTCGCACATCATACACCTTTCATGGCCTGTGCTCGCGATTTCGAATCTGCTAATGAGCTTGCCCGCCTAGGCACTTTCCCTCTTTGATTTACGCATAGCAGAGTTTTTTGAACTGGGCTTGCCACTTAGAATCCGCGGCTGATCTTGCCCGTTTTGGCACTTTTCCTACTTGATTCGCACATCGCGGAGCTTTTCCATGCTCTCGCGAATTATCTGTTCAACTAGGACGGTTTGATTTTTCCCTTCCCTAATTGGCAACTCGCTGAGTTTTTTTGCGCTCCTCTCGCTATCTAAAAATATCTAGTAAATTTTCTCACCTGGCACTATCTTTCTTTGATTCATTTATCGTAGAGTTCTTAAGCATTCCGATCGCGACTTGTCATCAAATGCCGAATTTCACCGGCTTGGTGCTTTTTATTCCTGGCTCACGAATTGCATAGTTTTCATGCACTCTGCTCGCAACTTGGAACCAGGTAGTGAACTTACTTTTCTTCCTTGGTTCGCTGTTCAAAGATTTTGTACGCACTTCCCAGAGTTTGTACGCACTTCACGTACGACTTTTAATTGAAAAAAGCTTATTAAGGAGATACATTTGAGAGAAATTCTAAAAACAAAATTATTAATTTTGAACTTCTTAGTGCCGTAACAAATATATGCACACACACAGCGTTTTATTTTCAAGATGAATCTTAGGTCGCGCCCTTTCATCGCTGTAGATCATTGTTATTTTGACTGTTAGATAGCTGCGGGCCGAAACTTTGCCAAACTCTCTGCTCGAGTGACATGTATTCGAATAAAACATTCTCACTGCCTTGCCGTGATAATGAACCGACTGAGGCTCCTTGCATGAGATGCAAACGGCCTTTGTATTCGAATTGAAAAGCACTAAAGCAAGACGAACATTAAATTAAAATAAATACTCTTCCTAGCAGGCTTAGCCGATAGCTGAGGGCAACAAAAGAAAGATTTCAGTAAAATGTGATTTTAGGCAAAAGTCAAGATGAGTCAAGATAATAGCATGCCAAGCTCCAACTCCTTAACGCATTCAAAAGGAAAAGAAAAAAAAAAACTCCAACCGTCGCGACAGCTACATGATCTAAATAAATTGGAATCTGTGTGCGATTACCGTAACTTGCTCTCAAGTCCGTATTAGAAAATTTAGGTCAATTGTCTTAATATATAAAACAAGATAAAGAGAACTAAACTTTTACGAAAGGACGAAAATTAGAGTTATTAAGCAAATAATGAAAGCCAGCCCCTCCGGAAAAGAATAAAACATATTAAATGGAATTCATGCAGTCGTAGCTATATTGGGTGATCAGACGGTTAAGGGTGGTTACGGGCCCACTGGGCTGCTGCCACTCCCTCTCTCTTTCTGTCTTTCTGACCACTAAGATAACTTTTCCTAAATACTTGGTCTAGTAAAAAAAAAAATTTATGTAAACCGTCAATATATGACAAATTTATGGACAAATATTTTAATTAGCGCAGAAATATGTGTAAAAGTGTTTGCTGGGTTTCTATTATTTTATGTTAATTGCTTTTATTTAGTTGTAAAACTCTCTGTGTGCATATAGACATCTATATATACATGCGGTTGTCTGTAGATGGGGATGAAGAGACATTTACATTGGTTATGTGTATTTGTATGTAATACTCATTATTATCTTGTCATGCACTATTATCACTTGCATGTCCCTGCCAGCCATGCAAGATGAACTAAACATATAATAATTATTTTGTTATTGTTGGCGTTTGTGTTTGCTATTATTATATGTTGATGTTGTTGTTGTTGTTGTTATTTTTACTGTATATCCTACTGTAATAATATTTTGCTATTTTTAGTTGATTTTCATTTTATTTAGTTTGGCATATAAACTACTATTACCACTAGTGAACACTTAGCCGCTATGTTATCTACTATCGTCATCTATATTAAAAGCGTATGCTTGTCTGTAAATTTTATATATATACATACAAATATACATAAATATATATATACATACGTATGAGTAAGATTGAATGCAGTGAATTTTCATTTTTTTCGTGTGCTTGTGTGTTTCCTTTAGATAACCATTGCACCGAATAAGTAAATAAAATGAAAAAATTTCCATCATATGCAGTAAGAGAAAATTGTGATAAAAAATCTATTGTTATTGTTTTTGTTGTCGCTTTATAGCCATACACATCACGGTCAATGGTTATGCCAAGATACGCTGGATAAAAAAGGGTTATCCGCGTGATAGTGAACGAGCCATGTGTCGTGCGTATCGTTCGTATTTGTCGTCGCGTTCGTATGTGCTTGGTTCTTGCGGTAGCACTACTTCCACTGATTGGATTGCTGGTGAATATTCGTATACTTTTCATGTTATACTGCCGGAAAATCTGCCGACCTCGTTTGATGGTAAATACGGTCAAATACATTACGAAATTATAACGACTATCGATCGTTCGGGACGTTATCCAAAAGTGTACAAATTACCATTTACGGTTATACAACCGTTAGATTTAAATACCGATAACATCTATAGAGTAAGTATTTTTCATTTTTAATGAATCGATGATCTTTGAGAAAGATATCTATCCTCTCTCGCTCACTTTGAAAAGGTTCCATTAGATATATTAAATCGTAAACGTTTCTGGAGTTTTTGTTGTCCAACCGGACCGTTAACGGTGAAATTTTCAACTCCTTATTGCGGTTACGCGCCTGGGCAAAAAATTCATTTCGTTTTATATATTAATAATGAATCCTCCATTGATATTACCCATTGCGATGTTAAGCTTAAACAAGAGGTCACCTACGAAGCCCACGATCCTCATCACGAATTGCGTTACGACAAGAATATGATAGCACGTAAAGATTTTGGTAATGTTTTACGTTGGAGCCGTCGAGTATATCGTGATTGTTTGGAACTGCCATCCATACCGCCCACATCGTTAAAGACCTCATGTCCCATTACGGTCGGCTATGTCATTAAAATTGGCGTGAAACCAACGGAATTCCATCGAAAAATGAAATTAAAAGTTCCAGTAACAATCGGAAGTATTCCCATAATGGATAACTCGGACAATTTAACAGCCAACAATAATAATATTGTCGCCGATAGCAATGACAGCCACAATAGTAGAAACGCTGTCAATGGTGTTGTGACGAGAAATGAAAGTCTTAGTGCTATTGTCAGTATTGATGAGAGATACGATGAAAGAGTTACTCATACGTTGGCACCTCTCTCAAGACTCGAAGACGGCTTGGATACCGAAAATTTCAATACACCCATAATACTTGTGACGGATGTAGACAATCCTCCAGACTATGTATCAATGAGTAAGTTGCCCTTAGACCCTGAAATTAACTCAATAGATATTTTCTATATCGTGGTATGATTGTAAGGCAATAGATTTAACAAATAATGCTAATTATTGCTAGATGTGCAGTACGCCGTGCTATACTTTTAGGAAAATTTGTCGTCTCTTTGAAAGTCAGCGTCGATGTGCTAAACGGGAAAGGAACCATTACTCAAAACCGAAGTCGTTTTGTTTTCAACTTTCAAAAATGAGCATTAAGATTGATATTTACTTTTTTGAGGTTATGTCGCAGTTTCTTTTTATACCGTACATCGCTTATGGGAAATGGATATATTTAGCTTGTGAGGAGCTATGCAACATCCTAAACAATTTCAAAACGATTCATCTTTTATTATACCGTGTATACTTGTCTGTCCGTCTGTCAGTTTTGTGTCCTTGCCTTCATTCTATAGCTCATAATTTTTCGGATATTTCAATGAAATTCGGTACACACATATATATACGCTACATAACTTGTGGTAGAAGGGTATATTAAGTTTGTACGGATGTATGTGGCATCCAGAGAGATTTGATTTAGACCAACCTTGTATTATGCTGACTGATTCAGAATCAATTTTTGTATCGATTTAAGCTTCTCTGTCCGTCTGTCCATCCGTCCGTATGCCGACGTTCTCTTTATGTTCGGTGTGCGAGTCGAACTTTTAGAGATATTTTAATGAAATTTGATATACCGTCCCCCTTTCCTTTTTTTAAAACACTTTCCGTAGACTTCCATAAAATAACTTATTTCGAATATCGGTAGGAGAGTGCAGGGTATACCATACTGGCCCACTATAGTGGTTTTACTTTTTTTTGTTTCTATTAAAATTAATTAAATTTATTTTCTCTCACTCGTATTCTAGTGCCACCGTCTTATGAAGAAGCAGTAGGATTCAGTCAAAGTTTTTTCGACGATACCGAATACCAAGAAAACGTGAGCATGTCCAGTTTGGTAGTGGCCGATAATAAACACGATACTTTTAAGCCGCGGTATCCAGTTTATTACAATTACGAAACACCTATTATACCGCCCGGTAGTGATGATTCCAATGAATCTGATTAATAATCAATTACTTTGAATTGGACTTAAAAGAAGTTTCTTTTTTACTGAGAACAATAATATATATTTTAATATAATTTTGATTTTTCGACAATTTTATAAAGTTTTTTTTAAATTTTTTTTTTTTTTATTTAAATAATTTAATTGATGAGAAATTATAATTTAATATAAAAAGCAATATTTATATATATATATAGCAATATATATATATATATATATATATATATATATATATTTTTTTAAAATTAAAAAGAATCTAAATTATTAAATAATATTAATTTAAAAATTTCCTTTAAATTTATTTTTATTAATTTAGTCAACGCTTGAAAAAAAAAGAAGAAGATGTTAGATGAATGCTTCTGCTATTGTTTATCATTTTTTCATTATCCAGTTTCCATCATTTATCGTCTATTAAAATAATTTGTAGCCTTAGATGTACGAAACTTTCAAGGGATCAAATTTTAACTCATATTCCTATAAACACTCGTTTGATTGGAAGAGAGATCGCTCTCTTATTAGACTTAATATTTTTTTTTTATGTGTAATTCATTATCATGCCAGAATACACCTGTTGCATACCCCACCCCTTTCTTACTTGCTAGATATGTTCATTAGAAAACCGTGCAAAAAAGATCGTGTAAAAAAATACATGCGATCTATAGCAAATTTAGGGATATGTTCACTAATTTTGAAAAATCATGTAATATAAAGTGTAAATATTTTCCAAAGAACCGTGCAAAAAGAGTAGTAATGGAATCTTTTTCATTCCAAAAAAAAATAATAAAATTAGTGTACAATTAAGCACAATTGAAATTAGGAATCAATTTGGCAAATATTCATCGCTACTTGATAACAAGCGTGCACGTTCTCTATAGACTAGAGCAAAATTGCTACCATAAGTACCTATGTCAGTACCTCTGTTTGTGTTTTTTGTGCTGTAAAGTCTGCTATCAGCAGCTGCTTTCTGGCTGTCTCAAGTCGCTGTTTTACTACTTGCAAGTACTTCTACAGATCAAGGCAATCAGTAGATTCTTATTTAGCGCACCTCCCATGGTATATAAGGCACATCTTTCAATACTCTTCATCGTTTGCTTGCAAAGTGGAAAGTGAGTAAGATGTGAGTGGGTAAAGAGCACTCAAGGCATTGCATTCGATGCGAGTACTAGAAAGGAGTCAATGTATATCTTTCTTGTAAAAACTTGGATGACACGTTGGGAAGTAAAATTTTAGATTTCGTACCCGCCGAAAAATGTTTTCCAACTATCCTTGCCGTGATTTCGATGTCGATGACGAGACATATGGGTGACAATGATAGTTTGCGAACCACGCTGAAGGGTAAGCCATATCCAGCCACTTAATGATTGCATAGATACGCGGCAAGCACCATTCGAAAGCAGAAGAACTTATCGAACATGTTCAAGCTCAAACATCTTACGTAAAATACGACAGAACTTTTTCGCTAAGCTAATGAAACCTAAGCGAGGGAGAAACCATTGTTTATATGCTAATGTAACCAATTTTTTCGCTTACAATGATATAAGATAAAAGCAAGTAAGTAAGAACATTTTAGGCGGGCAAGCTCGACGATTGGATAGTATATATTACTGCGCCTGGCGTGACAGAAGATTAACAATTATAGCTTATGATTTTCCAAGGCATAACTTTTATATCTACGAGATTTCAGAACGCAAACAGTCGTGATCGAGACTCATTAAAATTAATATTCTTGCCAAAGGCTTTCTTATTATTCATCACAGTATATTAAAAATTAGAATTTGTTTTTATAGTAAGGCTTGCTTTTCATGAGTGGGGTCGAGAAAATAGACTTACGTAAACCAAAGATAACACAGTTCCTTTTTATCCAAATTACTATCATGGAGCCATTCTCAGTGTTAAATGTCAAAGATTAAATAGTTTTGCTATATGAAGGCTTACTTTGCACAGGAATGGTTGGCTGAATTGTCTCAAAGATTAGCAGTTTTCAGGTTGAAGACTAGAATACATAGGCAAGAATTAAACGGACAGACAGACAAACATGCTCAAATTGATTCATATAATGATTCCGAATTGATCGAGAGGGTCTATCTTAACCTTTTCTAGGTCTTACATGTATTCGGACAAACCTAATGTAAGTTATGTAGGGTATAAAAAATTATATTGTAATGACAAATTTGGGATATAAATAATGTGCTATCGAAAACCGTTGTATTTTAAACTTATTTTAAGGTTACTACAGTGAGCAATGCAGCTCTATTACGATTGATTTTGACCCACAGTTCTTCCAACTTCTACATAATCCACCCTGTAGGATAATTGGGCGCAATACCTATCTACTTCTAAGTCGCCCAAAAACCAATAGATCTCTAGTATGTTTATTTAAATTGTGATAAATTGATAACAACTTTGAATCCGATATATATTGCACCGGTTGGACAAGGAAGTGCCTCTTACGATTCTATTAGTCGAAATATAGTGTCCATGAATAACGAATTCCATGAATACAAACCATACAATATTCGAACAAAACCATTTATATAATCTTCCATTCTATTTGCATCTCTCTCTTTTTCTTTTTTCAGTCATAAATTTTATACGTATTTTTCGTTCACATTTTTATAAATTTTTTTATAAAATATATATAAAAATCTTTATTATTAATTCATATTAATTTTTTTCTTCTATATACTTTTTCGCATGCTTACTCTACTGTAAATAGAAACCCTTTACGATGAAATCCATACTCAGGTTCATCATGATACGGCCTTGCATACGGACCTAAACACCATGGATATAAATGCTTATACACAAAAAAACATTTAAAAAACTTAGAATTTACCATATATTTCGTATATAAAACAAAAAAAAACCAAACAAATTATATCCTTTATTATATATATAGATATATTAACCCCTTTAGCTAGAAAATTTTTTCTTTTTAAATTTAAAAAAAATATGTTTTTTTTTTTTTTTGTAAAAAGTGCCATTTATGATATAGAGTTAAAAAATATTCCTCACTCTCTTTACTAAGTCTAAAAAAGAACTTTTTACATTTAATAAAATAAAAAAAATTATACAAAAATATTAGGTTGGTAATAAAGAAATGTCGGTATAGGTTGATACTTAAAAGTTAAGTACGTTGGAGAGACATTGAGAGAGAGAGAGAGAGAGACAGACAGACAGACAGAGAGAGGGAGGGAAAGATATATAATGTCTTTTTTGCCAATCTATTAGTTAGTTTATGAAATTCTCTCTAATCTTTTTTTTTTTCTAAAAAATTCTGACTTTATATATATATATATATATACATCTATATATATATATCTAAATAAATTGCACTCATATTCTATTCGATAATGGAATCGATAGCTCATAAGCCAACAATTGCACAATTTACTCTTTAAGCTTAGCCATATTACGTATATACGACATATTGAAAATTTAGTTTAAAAAAAAAAATAAATCAAATTTTTTTCATAAATATATTTCTTTAACTTTTAAATAAAAAATATATTATAAAAATTTATTAAGCATTTTCCAAAATTTCTAAAATAAATGAATTAAATTACATTTAAATTGGTTTTGAAAAATTTATTTTTCCCTAAGTTTGATCAAAATATAGCGAGAATTCTTCCACAATCGATTATCTTACTATCTTATTATCTTCTGAGTCTCACTTTGGGGATTCTGGAAGGGCACTTACACCCCTTTACATTAATTTGCTTACAATTCTTTAAACTCCTGCTTTAAGAATTTTTGATATATTTGAGTTATTGCAAGCAATGCCGTGCTCTCTGAGAAATCGCTTTTTCGAGACATTTAGCCCATGTCACATTTTCTTCGAGATCTCGAGGTAGGATTAACCTGATATTCTGAAATTTTCTCACGCTTAAATTGATACATTTTCCCACGTTATTTGTCACGTTGAGAGGTATAACCACTTTTCCACGGTCTTGCCCCTGTGTGAAAGCACGTTCTTTTTCCATTCTGTTGCCCAAGCTTAGACTCTCGATCCCTTCGTACAATACTGCTCAACTTTAGATAAACGGTCGTTGTCCATGTTGTTATTCACGCGTACAGGAA